CCAGCCCATGTCGCAAGCCTGATGTGTCAGAAGAACAATATTTAATTTGTGTCATTAGTGGACTGGACGAAAATATCGACTAACGCACTTTAATCGGACTTATGTGGTATCCGATGCACCAAATTGAGTTAAGTGGTATGGATTCACCAAAAGCCAAACATAAATGGCAGGCAACGCATTTTCCCGACACGGAATTAATGCACGGCCACTCGCATGTGCTCCTAATTTTTAGTAACGACAATTGTGCCCCTTTTATAAATCTGCATTAATTATGGTCAAACCATCAGAATAAAAACCAATCAAAACAAAATATTCATATTGATTGGAGCTAGTATTATGATCATGCTAACAAATTGGATCGGCGGGTTCTGCTATAACATATGTGAATGTTCGGTTCTGTAGGCTGAGTTGTGGGCTTTTGAGCAAGGCCTGGAGATGTCCTGGAGACATGGACACATTCTGCTTATCGTGGAATCAGACTCGCATGTAGCTATTAAGCTCATTCTACGCAAAACTGACAGAGTTCACCCGTATGCTGCTCTGCTGAATTCAGGTAGGCGGCTTTTGGCCCAAGACTGGTTGGTTTACTTGGTTCATACATACCAAGAAAGGAATAGAGTCGCGGACTAGCTCTCGAAGCAAAGTCTCGTCTATCCTTACTTTATGCATGTGCTAGTTAACCCGCTGACACAACTCATGGACATCCTGAATGATGATGATCGGGGGCTAGTTATTCCCCTCAATGCAATTCCCCCCTCCCCCATCCTACGTTATAACTCCTTCTCCTGCTTTCTTGGTGCGTGCCTCCCACAAATCAAAGAAGAAGAAAAAACAAATTAGATGTTAGCATCCAAACCGTTACCTTCTATTTTTTTTTACAGTCTGTTTATTTACCAATTTTTTCCTTATATTTTGACTATTCTTTCAATATGGTCTCTTTATTACAAAAATTAACTTATCATTAATCTGTGGTGACTAAGGGATCGTTTGGTAGTTGCGATTGTTTTGGTGTGATTGCTACTATACATGTATTGTTTAGAATGCATCGTTGTTTTGATTTTTTTGTAGAAACAATACATGGATTGTTTTTGTGATGTGACAGAAAATATCACTCAAAATGAGGGATTGTTATATCTCAGCTTTTAGTTGTAATTATTGAGATTGTTTTGTTTCAGTTTTTAGCTTATGTGATATACACAATCACAAGATAAAATACATCGGGTACCACTAAAGTTTCAGAATTGGTGGAGCTATACCACTTAACTAAAAATAGGGTATTGGGTTCAACTGAACTCTATTATATGTGCACCCGGTACCACTTAAGTTTACTGCTAAGTGCATTTCGTTAAAGTTGACATAATATTCTTAGAATATTCCATTTTCTAAATTTCATAATTGGTACTTCAACTTTTCTTATTGTAAAAAAAACATTTGGACTTATAAAAATCATCATTTGTTATTTTTTTAGTTGGAATCTAATAATTGAATAATTCGTTGAAACAAATATATTCTATGAATTATATCTTGATATAAATAATTCGAAGATGTTATATTAAGTTCTCTTACATCATGTTGATGTTGTCTAATTTTCCATGTTAGATCTCCTTTTAATTCTCTAATATTATATTATAGATGTTCCATATTAGTGAAATTCACTAATTCTAATTCTCTTCATGTATTCATATTTTCTTTTCTACATTTGTTATCGAATGTTGTAGCTTTTATAGTTTATTTATTATTTGGTTACTTTTTCGTCTTTTTCGTTCTTTTTTTTCAATTACTGGAATAATTGTAATTCTTTCTTATTGTGTTTAATTTACCCTTTTGTGGTCTTGATGTATTGATGATCGATTAGGTTCTATTTTATTTGTTCTAATGGTGCTTCTAATTGAATTAGAGGTTTAAATAGATCTTCTGATATTGATTTTAAATATTTATTATTATCTTCTAATATATTTATTATTCTTCTTGATATTCATTTATTATTTTTACTCATTTATCTATTTTACTGAAAAAATTTGATTAGTCATTCTAGTAATACTATGTTTAGAAGGTTTTCTAATTCTTATACTATATAAAACTTGTTGAATTATAGTTGTGGATGTTTTTAAAAAAAAATTCGTTGAATCAGTTGCAATTGTATGACCAAAACTATATGCAGAGTACATATAGGGACTGATACAACGAAAAGGATTACTCAAGGCAAGTAACCCTGCAGAGAATCAAAAAGAACCCCCCCAAAAACCCCCACCTGACTACTCAAACCTTCCCACCTCAAACTATAGGAAACCAGCAGCAGCCAGGTCTGCCTGTAAGTCACTGTCCTCACTACCCAAATACAATAAATCAGAGATAATCAATCTACCAAGAGATGCAGCATCCCTAGGAGCCATTTGATGTTGTCTGCTACATCTTTCACGCCACAGATATGCAACACAAGCACACCAAAAGATCCCAGCGACCCTCCCTGTCGAGGTTCCCCTCTTGTTCAAGGCAACAGCAGCCTGCACACTTCCCTGCCAACTCGGTCAACAAAGAAGATGACCTTCTCGCCAGCATGAAACAACCTGCAAAGAGTAAGAACACTGAAAAAATAGATGATCCCTGGTTTCCACCGACCCCCTGCAAAGCAAGCAGGAGCCATCCAATGTCTTACCCCATCTCACCAGCTTATCCCTGGTAGTAATACCATCCAACAAAACCAGCCATACTAGCAAACTGTTATTAGGTAAATGCTTTTTCCCCCAAACCAGTTTTGCCCACTACACCCTTTGATGTTCAACACGCAAAGAATTCCACACAGTGGACACCTTATAGACAGGCATCAATTTACCATCCCAACTAGGAGTATCACCAGTCAGTGTTAGATGAGCCTGAAGCAATGGCCTAAGCTTGAGGACCCTTCTCCATGCCCAAGAACTACTTGGACTCACATTCATGGTCCAAACACTACCCTGTTTAACCCTGTATCGCCACATCCAGGCCACCCAAATTGCACCACTCTTCATCAGAAGAAGCCAAACCATTCGAATAGAACAGACTCTATTCCAAGCCAGGAGATCCTTGATGCCAAGTCCCCCCTCTCCTTTTGGTCGAGCCATTCTCTCCCAACCTATTTTTGCTCTACCCTCACTTCCCCCATGCCACAGAAACCTCGAGCAAACAACATACACCTTCTTTAAAACCTTTTTAGGAAGAAGAAAAACTTGCATCCAGTATTGCAGGATGCCCATGAAAACTGAATTAATCAGCTCAAGCCTACCTGCATAACTCAGTTTCTTTGCACGCCAGGTCCCAATCTTGTGAGTGATTTTCTCAACCAACTTGTCACAGTCAGCTGAGGAGAGCTTCCCTGAGAATAATAGAAGTCCCAAATACCTGACAGGGAGTTTTCCCTCCTGGAAACCAGACAACTGAAGGGCATTGCTTTTGTAAAGCCCAGATAGCCCCCCAAAATAAATTTCACATTTACCCGAATTACATTTAAGTCCAGAAAGGGAATAGAACTCATTCAACAACTCCTGAACCTTGCATATTGCTTGTGCAGAGCCTTCTGTAAAGATCAGAAGGTCATCTGCAAAGCAAAGGTGAGCCAACCCTATATGTTTGCACTGAGGATGGTAAACTAATTGCTTCCTTACAGCAGCTCTGTTCAGTAGGGAAGACAGTCCTTCCATAGCAATGAAAAGGTAGGGGGAGAGAGGATCCCCCTGCCTTACACCTCTCTTTGCCCCAAAGAACCCACAAAGCCCCCCATTGATGCAAATACTAAACTTGGAAGTTTTAACACAGAGCTTAATCCAGTACATGAACTTAACAGGGAATCCCATAGTTTCCATCATTAAGAAAAGATAATCCCAGTTCACCGAGTCTAAAGCCTTCATCAAATCAATTTTAATAGCACAGCGAGAGGAAAGGTTCTTTCTACTATAACTACTGACCAGCTCCTGAGCCATAAGAATATTATCCACAATTCTCCTCCCTTCTATAAAAGCTGATTGATTACTACTTATAATACTTGGGAGAACTTTCTTTAGTCTATTAGATAGAAGCTTAGCAATGACTTTGTAGAGTATATTAATGCATGAAATAGGCCTGAAATCTTTGAGTTTACAGGCAGAGGTTACCTTAGGTATAAGTGAAACAACAGTAGAATTAACACTGCTAGGCAGCCTGCCAAAAATTAATTAAAATTTTGAGTTGGATGGAAAACTAGACATATGCACATTTTATCGACTTTAATGGTATGTGACGCCCTATTCAAATTTAAGTGGTATTTCTACTCCAATTCTCAAACTTAAGTGGTACTCGAGGTATTTTACCCTACAATTACACATACCAAATGTTGTATTTTACAATGCATCAAATTCGACAATACATGTATAAATATTATATATGCTTTCACAACAATACATCTATTTAACAATCGCAACCTCCAAACGACCCCTAAATTTAAATTTTGTGACACACCTTCTAAAGAATATTCTTCCTACCATCAATCTGTTTCCATTGTTTTTATGGTACAATAATCAACTTATTCCAAAATTCAAGTAACCTCATTCACCAAATACACATTCTAACACCAAATGTCAATCTTCCTATAAAAATTAAAAACGAGTGAAGACAGAAGGCAAAAGACATTGCATCCCCTCCCCCACCTTTCTTAGGGGAAATGAAATGAAATGAAATGAAATGAGAAGAAAGAAGGAAAATGAAACCACAACTCATTAAGAAAATCTAATTCCAACCCATATGCTTAATCAAGAGTGACCCTGAACCCACGACATTCCAGCCTCAAGAAAATTCAGGCGCCCTGAGTCTGATCTTCACCGCCCCTTCTACACCACTGCTCTTTCTCCCCCCTTTTCATCTTTCAATCATGGTCGAATTCCAATCCGAAATCGTTCATAATACGTACAACATCATTTATCATTCGATCGAACAATAAACGCTCTATAATCGTCGAATGAACGCGTGACATATTTGTTCTATCCCCTTTATTATTAGATTAAAAAACAAGAAAAGCCGCCATCTTTACTTACATTCACAGCACAGCAAAGCCAAACAAACTGGACACATCCCCTCTCCTTCTCTCCCTCATTAAAAACAGAAATTTTCCTCCCTCTCTCTTCTGCTTCTCCTTCTCCTTCCTCATTCACCATCGTCCCCACTTCCATTCGTACTTTTCTCTGCCTCCACAGCAGGGATTAATTAAGAACAAACCCCAAAAAAGCAGAGGAGGCTCTCTGTTCTCAGTTCTCACCTCCCTCCTGTCATCTATCACAATGAAAATGGCCAAGGAGAGGGAGAAAGCAGCAGCAGCCGGCGGCGAGAAGAAGGTGTTTCTGGGAGTCGTGTGGAACTGCGCCGCAGAGCTCAAGCTCCTCTTAACCGCTCTCCTCATCCTCTGCTCCGTCGCCACCGTCCTCCAGTTCCTCCCTTCCCGCTTCACCATCTCCACCTCCGATCTACGCTTCTGCATCTCCCGAATCACCACCACTACCACCACCACCATCTCCGCCGCTGCCGCCCTCTCCTCTCTCAATTCCTCCTCCTCCTCCGCCGCTCACGCCGCTTCGCGTCTCGTCGTTAATCCGCCGCCGCCCCTCCCCGCTTCTCCCCCCGCCGTCGACAGGGATAGGGTGCTTGAAAACGGCGTAATCAAGCGCGTGTTCAACCCGTACGGCTCCGCGGCCTACAATTTCATCACAATGGGGACTTACAGAGGCGGGCTCAACACCTTCGCCATTAACGGTCTCGCTTCCAAGCCTCTCCACCTCTACTCCAAACCCACTTACCGGTGCGAGTGGGTACCCGAACCGTCGCCGCCGCCGTCCAATTCCTCCAAGCCGATAACCACCGTCGGTTACAAGATGCTCCCCGATTGGGGGTACGGACGGGTCTACACCACCGTCGTAGTGAACTGTACTTTCTCCGAGCCAATCAACGCCGACAATTCCGGGGGCAAGCTCTACCTCCTCGCCTCCACTTCCGGCGGCGGCGACGCCAAATTCGACTCCACCGACCGAATCCAGGTGCTGGAAGAGCCGAAAGGGAGCGTCGATTTCGAGGTTTTCGATCCCAATTCCAAGCCCAAGTACGACTACCTCTACTGCGGCTCGTCGCTGTACGGCAACCTGAGCCCGCAGAGGGTGAGGGAGTGGATCGCCTACCACGTGAGGCTGTTGGGGGAGAGATCCCACTTCGTCATCCACGACGCCGGCGGCGTCTACGACGAGGTGTTGGAGGTTCTGAAGCCGTGGATGGAATTGGGGTACGTGACCCTGCAGGACATCAGGGACCAAGAGAGGTTCGATGGATACTACCACAATCAGTTCATGGTGGTGAACGATTGCCTTCACCGCTACAAGTTCATGGCCAAGTGGATGTTCTTCTTCGATGTGGACGAGTTCATCTACGTCCCGCCTAAAAGCACCATCAAAACCGCCCTGGATTCGCTCTCTGAGTATTCCCAGTTCACCATTGAGCAGATGCCCATGAACAGCAAGCTCTGCCTCACCGCCGACTACGGCAGATACTACAGGTAACCCATTTCTCAATTTCGAGTTACCCTTTTTTTCTATAACGCCATTACTTGAATTGGGTTTTGCCCTTTTCCTAATTTGTCTGCAATTATACATGCCACACCGTCACCGCCATTAATTTTGCGATTGACCGTCAATCCAGTCATTAGTCATAGATACATGTTAGTCATTGTGGTATAAACATAGAACTAGTGTTTATTTACGCACAAATTGAAGAGATTCTCATTCTACTCTGGAATTATTGTCGGTTTCCATAACATGGGTGTTTGGAAGACTGTGATGGTGGGTGGTTGCTTGAATTCTACATTTGCCGGACTGTGAGGGAAACGAAACAGAACAGCCCACAGGGGAATAATAAGGGATGGTGGGAATAATAATAAAGTATGCATTGAAAATGAATAAAGAAAAGCATCCAAGAAGAAAGGAGGGAGAGGAGAGGAGAAATCCAGTGACCAGTGGTGGTTTGGAATTATTCTCATTCATTCCATTGACATGATATGAAGACCTCTTTCGTTGTCCTGTTCTGGTGTCCATGATCGAGACCCTTCTCATACTTTGTCTGGAATTAGCTCTCTCTTTTTCCATTGTCCTTTTCCTCTTGTTGAGGAAGAGTCCCAAAATGATCTCCAATTGCAATCACAGAAAGAGAGAAAACTTCATTTTGATGAAAATCAAGCGACCATTTTTCACCGTGGATGGCTGGAATCGGGTTGAATTGAGAAATGGGTTCTGCACAATGTGTGAATTAGAGTGGTGGGTTGATCTTAATCGCAGTTTTTTTGGGGATGTAATTTTGGTTGCAGGAAATGGGGGATGGAGAAGCTGGTGTACAAAGACGTGAAGAGAGGGGTGAGGAGGGACCGGAAGTACGCGATCCAGCCGAGGAACGTTTACGCGACGGGGGTGCACATGTCGCAGAACCTGGTGGGGAAGACGAACCACAGGACGGACGGGAAGGTGAAGTACTACCATTACCACGGCTCCATCGCGCAGAGGAGGGAGCCGTGCAAGACGCTGCTGAACGTCAGCGAGACCTACTTCGAGAAGACGCCGTACGTGCTGGACACCACGATGAGGGACGTCGCCTGGGCGGTCAAGAAGTTCGAGCTCAAAATGATCGGAACCAGGCTGCAGAACACCCGGCAGTGAATCCGGCCGTCTCCGCCGGCCGGCCGGGCCAGACAGGAAGATTTTTTACCGGACGGCAAAATGAAAAAAAAAAAAGAATAACTAATTGTTTTGTTTTTGTTGGGTTTCTTTTTTATAAATTAGGTTCCCTTCCTGTCCTTCTCTTCTCTTCTTTTTGGTTTAATTTATTTTTCTTCTTTTTTTATACATATGCCCGACCCCCCCCCCCCCCTCCCTTTTATATATTTTTTGGTACATTTTTTATAGGACTTACAGGAGGATTCATATATAAATTACGGGGGAGTTTCTTCTTCTGCTTCCTCTTTCTTGGGATGTATAAAATAATTGATGAATAATTTAAATAATTTAATAGAATCGAGTACAGGTAGATAGGTGTTCTTTTTCGCCATTCCTTTCCTTTCTAAGATTCTGATGCCTAATTTTATATATATATATATATATATATATATATATATATATATTGTATATAGCAGAAGAAGTTAACAGGCGTTTTGTAATTGGATTTTGCAATTGGATTTAATCGCGCACAACTATGGTCCATAAAACCGTACTGGTAGTGGAATAGTGAGAGAAATAATATTTTATAATAAAATCGTTGTGTAAACATAGTTCAATCGTTAATATCGTTAAATACCACTTATTGATTTAGCCTTCGATACTGGTATTTCGTGGTTGAACCACCGATATAATACGATTTCTTAGACCATGCGTACAACGTATGTGAACATGTACTAATAGATTATGTTGTTAGTATTATATTCGGATTCGTAGCTAGTCATCGAGCTGTTCATTTTCTCTTGGGCACTATGACCATTGTATACTAACATGGCTTTATTTCTTTAATGATTATATTGCACATGGTCTCGTTGCTATCAACGAAATTTGTTACACAAACTCTTTACCAAAGAAAATGGGGTACATGCACTAATGATGTTTTATAAAAGCAAGATATTATTTTTATGTAGGGATGGCAACATTGACCGGCCCGCCGGATACCCACCCGAAACCCACTCAGATGGTGAGCATTTTACCCGTTCATCGTGGGTAAAGGGCGGATTCGGGCATACCCGAAATTCGTGAGTAACGGGTAATGGGTGGCGATGGATCTTGTGGTATCCACCCCGTCCCCGCCCGGCCCTCCAAAATGACGTCGTTTTAAACACTAAATATTAATATATAAACTAATTGAAGGTTAAAAAACCCTAATCTTCATTTGTGCAGCCGACTGTTGACCTTCCCTCTCCACTCTTCCTCTTCTAACTTCTTCCTATCCTCCCTCCCTATTCTAATCGGCTCCAACCACCCCTTCCCTCTCCACTCTTCCTCTTCTTCCTCTAGTCACTCCTCCATTCTTCTCCCTTCTTTTTCTTCCCCTCCTCCCTACGCTCTTGCAACTCTACGCCAGCATCACCAAAATCATGTAACGCCAAAATTGCGGCCGTATCTTCAATTACGCCCGCTCCAATCACTCCGATCTTCTCTTCCTCTTTTTCCCAAAATCGGGCCTGCATCTCCAATCCTTGGTTTATGATTCGTGGAGATCCGTGGGTTACCCGGATCCGTCTGCTCACGGGGACGGTAGACAAAATCCCCCCGATCAACCTACGCGGACGGGGACGGAGAAATCCGTCAATCTAGACGGGCGGGGATCGGGAGATACGTACCCGCCCCCGATCCGCCCCGTTGCCATGCCTATTTTTATGGTTACCTTTACTTAAGTTACCGTTTTTTGCCAAGTAGTTAGATCCATAGATGATTGCTGACAAGGGATAATTTAGTTAAACAGAGTATTAATATTTAGAATTGTGGAGCCTCTTGATCATAATAAGCTCTTATTTTATGTCCAGAACTAATCCATCTCACTAATTCAATCTACGACAAAAACAATACAATAAGAAAATCTTTCCTTTTAAACAAAATTATAGAGAAACCTTTTCGAAAATAATTTAATAGCCCAATGGTCAAATTTCCATCTGATTGACTTTTAGTTGGACTCTAACATTGCAAAATATTAGATGAGTTGGATGATTTTTGCTAACGTGGCAAAAAAGTCAAACATTTAACCATGCCGCATGAATATTACATAATTTTATATAAAAAAATTCCCAGCCCAAGAAAAATATGGGAATTTCTCGTAAATAATTAAAAAATTTGAGCGTGAGAGCCAAATGAATCGAAAGATTCATGTTTGGTTTGCGAAGGGATCATTGATGAATGAAGCATTCATGATTCAAATTGCTTGGCCGGTTAACTGTGAAAGCCCAGAAGGGACGAAATTTGCCTAGACGAAACGAGTTCATCATGATCTATTATATCGAAAAATTTCTAGGGAAAATTTTTTCAAGACCAAATATACCACTTTATACCACCCTAGTATAGAGTGGTAATTTGTGGTAAACGGTGATGAAATATTATAAATGTCGATTAATATATTCCTGTTATCATGTATGCAACCAGTTTACTCTCTGCTATATTCGTACCATCATGATACATTTTCATACCATGTGGTATAATCTTATGCAGTACAACACATTACCACATGGTATGAACTGATAATAAATGTCATAATTTTTTTTTTTTTAAGTATAGCAAAGTGAATGTCATTTTTAAGAATAGAATTAATTTAATAAATTTGCCAATGAAAACAAAATATCAACTTAAAACGCATGATTAATTTTCATAAAGTTATCGACGAGATCCTCTCACTCGGATTGAATGGTCGATTCCTTGATTTGGTGTGGTGTCGGCGAGAGAGGGAGGAACGGTGGTCGGAGGCAATAGGAGATGGGGTCCACGTTGTTTTGTTTTGGGGCAATATATATCTTTTTCTTCTCCAATCTCCAGTTTGGCCGTCGTCAATCGTGGTCAATGCATGTGGGGGATTATGATTGTTGTTTCATTGTTGCCAATGATCACATCATCACACTTTCTCCTTTTCTATTTAACGTTTCTTTAGCTACTGATGGCAACAGATTCTGTCATTTCTGCCTGTTTTTAGGTTTGGTTTCATTCCCTCCTCCGACAATCTTAATTATTAATTTATTATGCACTGTAATTGAATATTATAATAATTTTTTCATATGAATTTATCAGCTATACTTTTTTTTTTTTTTCAAGAGGAGAGTAGGGAGAGAGGTCTAATCTGGCGGAACCAGGAGCTCAAAACCACTGGTCATATCCAATGAAGTCAAATACCCATTGCAGAAGCAGAAACATGAACAAAAACATAAAATGTTAAATTGTAGTATTAAAATGCAAGTTTTTGTTAATTATCTTATCATACTTCAGCAAAATTTCACTTTTCCATTTAAAAAGTCACTATATAATCTAACAAATTTTTAATAGTAGAACAAATCTTAATACATAAACAACAAGTTCACAATTATATAGAAATAAGTTCCACTATAACAACAACAAAAAAATAAGACACATTTGTGAGTTTGGGTATTCGTGACCTTGTGAGTTGGAACTTTGCATGTGTAATAAGACACATTTGGCTTATCCTCCCGCAGCAGAGTTCATTATGGGTGGCATGGCTGAGGGAATATAGGATAAAGCATCATGATTTCTGGACATTTCAATCAAAAGCAGGGTCTTGGCTATGGTTAAAACTGTTGAAGAGTAGAGATAGAATTACTCAATGGATGTCAATGAATAATGGTGAGGTTATATGGTCTGGCAAAGTTATGCAGAGATATAAGATTCAAATGGTGTGGGAAGTGTTCAGGCCTAAGGAAGTACCTGCTCCAAGGGATAAATTCATTGTTTGGATGATTGTAAAAAATTATATTGTCACCTGTGATAAGGTGGCTAGATGGGGTGGGAGAGGTCCCCTCTCGCGTGTGTTCTGTTCCTGTGCTTTGGAGACTAGGGCGCATCTGTTTGGTGAATGTGTGGTTTACAAAGAGTTGTATGCAGGTTTGCTGGCCAAGGAATTCCCCAGAATTCCTTCTAATGATTGGGACGTTGAGTTGCAGTGGGCTGTATCACATCTTCAAGGAAAGCAGGAGCGTGCTCAAGCTGCTAGGGCCATTTGGAGGTCTATAGTCAGTTCCATATGGAGAGAAAGGTGTCACTTGAAATTTGGCGGGACAAGGAGAAGCTTTCAAGAGTTGATTCTTAGCATACGAAAAAGATCTTTCTGTAGTTTCTGGGACTAGTCAGCTTATGTTGCTCTTGGTTCAGTTATAGGTTTCTTTTCGTTGTATTGCTAAAGGTAGAGTTGATAAGTTGCGGGTGAGAAACGCAGAGATATAGTGACTTATTTGGCAGGAGTGTTGCCATCAGTTTTGCAGGGTTTTTTTTTTATGATATAAAGCTTACCAATTCATAAAAAAAAATCTAAATTGGTAAAATAAAGCATATAAAAGGTTCTAAATGGTAAAATAAATCTAAATGATAGTAGGGCTCTTTATTTGTTGTTGGATTCATTCAGTTTTGTGATTCTTCGTGCTTTTCTTGTATAATTCTCATTGTGAATTCTGACTTGCTCATTGTTGTACTTGTACTTTCATTCATAATACCTCCATAAACTATGTTGCTTGAAGATTTTTTTTTTTTTACTAGCACTTAGGTTCTTCACTTCTCCCTCCTCCTTCCAATCTTTCTGTGCTCTCGCTATTTACTTTCCCAATTCATTATATGCTTTCTTTCTAAGATGGCTTTCTTTGGTTTAGGGTGGTTATGCATGTGTATAAGTAGATCCAATCCTTTAATTTTGAGTGATGACAAATTAAGGAGATGATATTAAAATATTTTTATATTTTTAATTAATTTGTATAATCTTTTTCCGACTTAAATTTAATTTTTTTTTTGCACAAATGGAACATGTTCATTGCGATATACAAAATCACATTCATTTTCTATCAATTAAAAAAATTAATACGCTAGTACCACTTCGTATCACTTCATTTTTAACTCAAATTTTAAATTTATTTGCACATATAGAATGGTCACATCATGATTTATTATAATCTAAAAATTCTTGGAATTTTTTTATATGCCAAATATACCACCTTATAACACCCTGTTGTAGGGTGGTAATTTGTGATAGAAAGTGGTGAAAGGTGACAAATGATAAGTTAATATATTTCTATTGTCATGCATATAACTATTATATATTATGATGTATTCATACAATCATGACACACTTGCATACCATTATAGTATGATTTTATATATTACCAAACATTACTATCATGGTATCGACTGATAATTTATTTTAAAATATATCGAAGTAAATATCATTTTTAAGAGTACGAATAATTTTTTTATATAATTTTTTTGGAAAAATTTGAACTTCAATTTAAAACAAAAAAATATAATACGATATAGTAAATTAGAGGTTTGTCGGATAATTATCATAAATGATAACAAAACTATTCTCTTTGTACAAA